GCTGTCCATCGAAAGAGGACTAGATTAAAAAAAAAAAAAGTGGTACATAAACACGATGGAATATTACGCAGCCATAACCAAGGGCAAAATTATGAACTTCACAGTAACCTGGATAGACTTAGAATCTATAATACTGGGTGACCTATCATAGAAACAAAGAACTGAGTATCATATGTTCTCATTTATAAGTGGACCTTGAACAATTATCGTAATACTATGAGAAAAGAATTGGCAGTAGTGGGGAACTGACAGGGGAGGGCAGGGTTGGGATTGGCAGTAGTGGGAATCTGCTGGGGGAGGAGCGGGGCACACCTCATCAACAAGGGTACATGCATAATGAACATTTGTATACCTAACCCTAAATTGTACACCTCATCTTTAAAACTAAAAACTAAAAAAAAGACAGATGTTGCCTTATTTTTGTTCCCAGCTCTTCCCCAACTGCATTTGTAATGTCAGTGGCATCTGACACATGAAAATTCAGCAAATGCCAACCTTGCAGGTAGCCAGAGGTGTTCATCTGAAGACTGCCTGAGCAACTCTGTACTGATGTCCCTTTAATTCAGCGCTTTGGAACCTCAAGTCCCTCTGTAGGCTGGACTGGCTCTACCAATTATGTAATGGAATCTTCTTTGGCCTGGTACCATGTGATTAGCCTAGAAAAAATGCTTCAGGATATTGGGTTCACACTTTTTTAGCTGAAAGAGTCCTGTCACCAGAGCTGACTTATTGTCCTTTCTGCCTGAGTGAAAAGACAAGGCACGGGCTGTAACAGAGCCTCATTTCTCTGAGAACCCCTGCACCCATAGAAAATTATCAAAGTGTCTTTTTGGTGAAATGACCCTACAATCAGTTGGGGTTTGCATTGATTATTGGACTTAACACTGATACTTGGCCCCTGCCGAGCCCACACTTTCTTCTTGGCTTTCTCTCCTTACCCAATCCTCGCATCTCCACACAGAAGTTTATATTTATTGAGTTCTGAGAAGAAGACTCTTTAAAAATGGAATGCGTGCTATATAGGTTAGGAAAGTCAAATGCTTTTTCATATAGGCTGTAATGAATAGATGGGATAAGTCATTAACAGAGCATGGTTGTTGGTTTCCTCTTCTCTGTCCTTCAGTGACTGGGAAGCTTTTATCTCTGTGATTTCACAGGGGCCTCTTTGCCCCCAGAGAGGCAAAGAGAGACAGGGCTCTTTACTGAAGTGTGCTAATTGATGGTTGAACCTAGGAAGCTGAGGAGCAAACACAGTAAGACTCTGTGTTCTGAGTTTCAGTGGGCCTGTCGGCTGGGCTTACTTTTTATTCATCGGTTGAGCATTTTTTGATGTTATTTGCCAACTAGGTTTCATCTACAGTATCTCTTATAGTTACAGATGCTGGGGCAGGGGGAGGTGTACTTTTATTTTGTTCCTGTTTTTTCTTAAATATCTTAGGAGTTATGACTGGGCACAGTGGCTCACATCCGTCATCCTAGCACCAAGGTGGGAGGATCATTTGAAACTAGAAGTTTAAGAACAGCCTGGTAACATAGCAAGACCCTATTTCTACAACAACAATGACCAAGGTGGGAGGATCATTTGAAACTAGAAGTTCAAGAACAGCCTGGCAACACAGCAAGACCCTATTTCTACAACCACAATGAAAAAACTTAGTCAGATGTGGTGACATACACCTGCAGTCCCAGCTACTTGGGAGGCTGATATGGGAGGATCACTTGAGCCAGGGAGTTTGAGGTTATGCTTACACCACCACACTCCAGCCTAGGTGACAGAGCGAGAAAAAGAAGTTGTCCATTTAGACATGAACTGGATTTTCTTTCACTGAGGACACAGAATGAAAGCCCCTGTCCACAGTGGCCAGTTGGTTCTAGGATGGAGTAATGAACAGGAAATAGGCAAAAGGAGTCACACTGGTCAAGCAGCCTGTGACACAACAGTTGTTTTGTTTGCATTTTTTTGAGTCCGAGTCTCATTCTGTCACCCAACTGGAATGCAGTAGCACACTCATGGCTACCACAGCCTTGAACTACTGAGCTCAATTGATCCTTCTGCCTCAGCCTTCCAAGTAGCTGGAACCACAGGTGCGTGCCACCATGCCCAGCTGATTTTTTAATTTATTATAGAGACGAGGTCTCGCCATGTTGCCCAGGCTGGTGTTGAATCCCTGGGCTCAGGCAATCCTCTCTCCTCAGTCTCTCAAAGTGTTGGGATTACAGGCATGAACCATTGCGCCCATCTATGGTTCTTGATTGCCACAGTGACTGCCTGGGCCAACCCAGCTCTATATTATCAGAAGGACCAACTATCACAAATTCAAAAAGAACAAAGCCCACGAGCTGCAGCACTTCCTGGCCTATGGCGGCAGCTAGCCACCTGTCTCTTCTGTCTTTATACTTTCTTGTTCATTCAACCGATTTGGTACTTATGATGGCTTGATGCCCATTTTACTTTATTAGGTAAACACAGTCTCAGAACTGATAGTTTTAGAAAGGTAGCTCATCTGTTGATTGTTTATTTGATGAATTCGCTGCATCTTTATTGAGTGCTCAGTAGGAAACAGGCTCCGTGTGAGGGAGACAGTGGTCACCAACAGAGAGCCTTCCAGCCCTCATGGAGCTGATGGTTTGCATGAAATGCAGACATGGAACTAGCCAACACAAAATAAAGTGGCCTCCGACCTGCAACCTGTGAGCAGGAGTCAACCCGGGGGACTGCCTGTAAGTCGAAGGCACCACAGATGTGGAAGCCTCATGGGAGCAGAGCCTGAGAGTACCCTGAGGCCTGGACCAAGGCCAGGGCGACCGAAACATGGTGAGCTGGAGAGAAAGGAGAGACCAGACAGGCTCTGTGAGCCAGGCTGAGTAATCATTAACCATGGAAGTCTTCCAACCTATTGCTTCCTTGTTCGTTTCCCTTTGCACATGTCTCTTGCTCTGTCTTTGAACTTCAGCTTTCTTCTCAAAGCCCTGTGAGAGCTAGCATGAGGACCTATATCCTGGAGGTACCAAGGAAGTTCAAGGCTGCAGTGACAAACTCACTAAGGAAACTTTTTTTTTCTTTTTGTTGGAGTCTCACTCTTGTCACCCAGGCTGGAGTGCAGTGGTGTGCTCACGGCCACCGCAGCCTCGACCTGCTGGGCTCAGGTGATCCTTCTGCCTCAGTCTTCCAAGTAGCTGGAACTATAGATACATACCACCATGCCGGGCTAGTTTTTTGTGGTTTTTAATTGTAGAGATGAGGTTTCACCAAGTTGCCCAGGCTGGTCTCGAACCCCCAGGCTCAGGCAATCCTCTCGCCTCGGAGGAAACATATTTAACAATGTATTACCAGTAGGCAAGCACAAACCTTCTGATGTTCACCCAAAACATCACGTTCAGAAGTAAACTGGCAGTGCATAGATGAGGCAGGCAGGCAGGCAGAGGAGAATTAGTACGAACCTGGGAACCCGTGGACCAGGGGGCTCTCCACGGATTTATTTACGTGTAATCCTCCTGCAACCATGAAGAGTCAGTGGGTTTCTATGAACCTCAGCTTTCAATGATATTAATCAAGGAGGTTGGACTAGATGTTGAACCATCTCTAAGTGGTTTTTCCTGCTTTAAAATTCATTCTCTATCCCTTAATGTTTGATAGAAGGAAATAATAGACCTGATACAGTGAATATGTGCTATGGCAGTTTATATATAGTGGTTCGCTTAATTTGAATTACCCTAAGATGTGGGTGGTACTGTTTCTGTTTTACAAATAAGGGAATGGAGCCTTCATGAGGTTTAGCTGGCCAGAATGACAGCTAGTAAGTGGGGGGGTTGCTGAGTCATGGGACTGAGATGAGAGGGTCTGTCTGATCCCTCAGCCCAGGCTCTTTGCATGATAAATGCTGGAGAGTAATTTGGAGCCACCTCAAAGTGTAAATGAGTATAGGTAATTAGGCAATAAGCATTCTCGCTGGACATGGTGGCTTATGCCTGTAATCCCAGCACTTTGGGAGGCCAAGGCCAGAGAATTGCTTGAGTCCAGGAGTTTGAGACCAGCCTGGGCAACATAGTGAGATTTCGTCTTAAAAAAAAAGTATTTGACTAGCTATACCTGAAGCTCTTAATAGTCTCATGGGGCTACCATATTGGGTAGTGTGGATCTGAATTGAATTCTTTTATATTTTTGGGGGGGAATGAGATGTTAAGAACCTGCCTAAGGTCATACAGCTTATGAATGGCAGTCAGAAACTTTCAATCCAGCTTCCCTGACAATGCTTATTCTGTAATACCACACTGCCTTGTATAAAGCATTTATGCCAACAAAATATACTTTTTTTTGTTAGCTGGAATTTTTAAAAAATTGGTTTTCTTATGAACAAGGGACAAATAATTGATATTTTTAAACATTGGTTTTAAAAAGCCATCGTATGAAAATTCATAAAAGTTCTCACCCAGACTGGCATGCAGTGGCATGCTCATAGCTACCGCAGCCTTGACCTGCTGGTTCAGGCAATCCTTCCACCTCAGCCTTTCAAGTAACTGGGACTACAGGCACACACCACTATGCTAATATTTTGATTTATTGTGGAGACGAAGTCTAGCCATGTTGCTGGTCTCCAACTCCTGGGCTCAGGCAATCTTCTTAGCCCTGCGTCCCAAAGTGTTGCATTATGTTAATTAAAATAAGTCATCAAAAATTTTGTTTAACTTTCTAGATGTAGGGGGACAATTTTAATTTAAAAAAAAATTTATGCAGAGAAAGGATTTTACTGTGTTGCCCAGGCTGATATCAAACTCCTGACCTCAAGTGATCCTCTTGTCTTGACCACCAAGCTATTACTGGTGACAGTCACCACACATGGCCCACAAGGGACCAATTTTAGAGTTGAGTAGTTCAATTCACCTCATTTGACATAAAAGTTTTCTTTTATTTTGAGGTTTAAAGCAATTAGTTGCAAGTGTATCAGGGTTTTAAGCATATTATGAAATGATAGCCGGTTAACCAATATTATTTAATCCTCAGAATCATCATCAACCAGCCGTTTTGAATTCATCATCTCTTCGGCAAGTCGCAGAAGGCACCAGTATTTCCAAAATGTGGCAAAATGACTTACGGCCATTGCTGATAGAGCGATACCCGGGATCTCCTGGAAGCTACGCTGCCCGTCAGGTGAGAACATGGCACCAGACCGCAAGGTTGTTGAATACCTTGTTTTCACATGAGGGATAACATTATGACTGAGGTTCTGAGTTGTCCAAGATCCAGATCTGTCATCTCCTTATTCACCCAATAGGCTACCAAGAAATGTCTATTCTGAATTAAGTGATACTTTTTCATCTAAATCAGTTTATGTGTGAAATCTCTGTGTGGGGTACAGCAGCAGACAGGGTGCTAAGCCCTTAACTCTTGACCATGTCAGTAACATACCCCAGGCTCCAAACCAAGCTTTCTTGAATCCTAAATAACCAACATCAACAGACTTAGAGAGTCCTCGCTGAAGGTTCTGGGCCAAGAGTGGGTCATTGTCCTGTCAGGTCTTTACTCTCCCTGTGGAAACTCTCCCTGGTGGAAGAGTTAAGGCCAGCGAGAAGCTTTTTCACCAGGACAGTGATTCTCAAACTTCTCACTCTGACTCACAGTAAAATAGATTTTACACTTTATACACATAAACACATTGATATATTCAGCTGATACAAAAGTTTTATGAAAAATAATCATCCTTTTCTTTTTAAATTAATTTGTTTTAAGAGACAAGGACTTACTCAGGGTCTTAGCCAGACTGGAGTGCAGTGGTGCAATCATATCTCACTACAGCCTTGACCTCCTTGGTTCAGGCAATCTTCCTGCCTCAGCTTCCCATGTAGTTGAGGCTATAGGCATGTGCTACCATGCCCAACTAATTTTTTTATTTTTTGTAGAGACAGGGTCTCACTCTGTTGTCAAGGTCAGTCTCCAATTCCTGGTCTCAAATAGTCCTTCTGCCTTGGCCTCCCAAAATGCTGGGATTACAGGCACGAGTTATCCTGCCCAGCTTTACTCACTTTTATTACCTGCATTTCATTCTGATATGGTTAATTCTATTTTACTAGTTTTTGAAAAATGCTGGCCATGACCCACTAAACTGATTTCTAGACCCAATGATTTTGCCACTGCCGTTTGGAAGACCAGGGCTGTCGAATAAGCCAAAGAATAAACCATAAGTGGGGGTGGACCTCCAGGGTGTCTCTGCCTTCTTCATGGCAGTCATTCTTAGCAATCTGAAACCTCACCTCTGAATAGCTGCTTTTTTTTTGGTTTTGTCTTTATTTTGTTGTTTTGAGTCAGGGCCTCCCTCTCTGTTGCCTAGGTTGGAGTGCAGAGGCATGATCACAGATCACCAGAGCTTTGACATCCTGGGCTCTGGCAATCCTTCTGCCTCAGTTTCTCAATTAGCTGGAACTTTACAGGTGCATGCCACCATGCTTGGCTCATTTTTTATTTTTTTGTAGAGACAAGGTCTCACTATATTTCCCAGAGTGATCTCAAACCCCTGGGCTCAAGCAATCCTTTTGCCTTGGCCTCCCAAAGTGCTGAGATTACAGACATGAACCTGGCCTATTTTTTGTTTTGTTTTTTCAAACTAGCCTCATTTCAAGGGACCGCTTAGGAAGGAATGGAACCCTCCCCTCCTATACTTTTTAGAGATCCCTTTGCCTGCCTAACTCTTCAGGTAAAAGACCTCAGCACCCACTGCTATACCTAGAGTGAGACCCTCAAGGCCCAGGTGCCCAGCTCTCGGGCTCTTTCTTTCTACCCAGTGTGTGGCCTCTGCCCCTCAGGTCTAGCCTAAACAGCCATGTGTCTGTATCCCCGGTAGACTCTTGTTTTCTGACCCAACACCGCCTGCTTCTCCTAGGGAATTAGATGGTGGAGACCCTAAGGGAAGCTTTACACAGAGAGTAGAATAGGAATGACTGTGGTAGGCCTTCTCTGAGCACTTTTTCCAGGTCAGGCACTCTATCGAGTTTTTTGCACAGATCATGTCATTCAGTCTTCACAGCAGTGCTACCAGAGGCCTGAGGTTTAGGTATATGAATGGACTTGCCCAAGGTTACATGTGGACGAGTGATGGGGCCAGAATCAGCTAGACTTCTCGACATCCTCTTCCTGGAGAGCTGGGAGGCACCTGCCCTGTGGTCTGTACACACAGCTCTCTGGCTCTCCATCTTCTCAGGCCCCAGTTGGAGATGGGGGCACGTGTCATTCACTTCAACAATATTTGCTGCGTTTCATCCCCCAAGCATTTCATTTCTTCTTCTTAGTTTTTAATTTTCCCCCTGTTCAGACCACTTATTTATTTGTTTATTTATTTGTTTATTTATTTATTTATTTATTTATTATACTCCTGAGCTCAAGCGATCCCCCTGCCTCAGCTTCCCAAAGTGCTGGGATTACAAGTGTGAGGCACCATGTCCAGACCCAAGCATTTTTCTTGAAAGAAGGTCAAGGTCCTAGCTGGTGCTTTCCAAAATGTCCAGTTCCTCTTTAGAAAAAAGTCTAGGTCTTCGATGCTCACTAGACTTTTTCGTTTCCCCGTACCATTTCCCCAGAAGGAAACTGGGTGGACACCTGAAACTCCGTGCATGCTTCAGACCTGAGGTTCCTCCTCTGTGGGTTCTGGAAATTAATAAACCTCATTGCTATTTTAGCTTCAACAGAACACAGTATATAGCGTACATAAGATACACAGATATTGCTGTGTTTAAAAAGATACATAGTCATTTAAAAGAGTTACTGGAGCCACAGTAACATTTTCCACTGTTGTGTGGGGGTGGGGCAAACAAGACTTCAAAAAAAAAATTTTTTTTGAGTCAGAGTCTCATTCTGTCGCCCAGGCTGGAGTGCAGTGGCATGCTCACGGCCACCCCAGTATTCACCCGCTGGCCTCAGACAATCCTTCCACCTCAGCCTTCCAAGTAGCTGGAACTACAAGTGCGTGCCACTACGCCCAGCTAATTTTTTTATTTATTGTAGAGACGAGGTCTCGCCAAGTTGCCCAGGCTATTCTCCAACCCCTGGGCTCCGACAGTCCTCTTGCCTTGGCCTCCCAAAGTGCTGGGATTACAGGCTTGAGCCACCGCGCATGGCCT